TTATTGCTTGTATCTTTACGATTTATATTGTTTTATTTAGTTTCCTAGTATGATTTATGTTGATTGCTTATTTAGTATCCTATGGCTATCACTCAGTGTTGTATCCTATGATTCATGATGAATGTATTTTTATGACGACTGTGATCATGATTGATCATTTATAGGTTTTATGTACACTGAGACCTTACTCTCCGAAGACAAATTCCTTGTGCGTCACACTTGGCTGATAAAGAATTCTATATTCTCTTTCAACTCAATGTGCACGCATACACACACATACACACACATACACATATGCATGCACACACCATTTTTGTGGGAGCCTTATGTTCTTTTAAACAATGCAAATATGTCTGCAAGTGATGGAAAGGAGAGTAAAATACAGGAGAACAAATTACAGCTCAGGGAGAAAAACCTGTTCAAACAGTAAAGTTGATCAAAGCTTACTAGCTGGAGAAAAAGGAAGGGGGCGGGAAATGAACTACTGAAAGTTCCTCTTTATGGGGTGTGTGTGTTTGTGCAAAGTGAAACAAACACACTTTGTTTCAATATTTCACTTTTCCGTATCTGTACCATGGTTTTTCAAACTTAACAACTTTCAGTTATGTGAATTCCCAGCAGTCTGATTTATACTCCATCCATTACTATTATTGTGAAGAACTGAAATGACTTTGTTTACAAATAAGTGATACATTCTCTCTCTTTCTCTCTCTCTCTATATATATGTATATATATGTATTATATATATATATTTATTTTGATATTATATATATAATATTTATTTTGAGCAGTGTATGTATATAACAGAAGCCTGATGATGGCAGATGAGATTCTGCCGAAACGTGGAAATCCATCCACTTGGACCCTTGGAATCATGCTGATAAAAATCAGTATGATTGATTCATTCCTTCCTTCCTTTCCTTCCTGTCCAACCTGCTGAAAAAAAATCATGATAATCTTTCCTTTCCTTTCCTCCTTTTCTTTCCTGTCCTCTTTTTCATTCCTTCCTTCCTTCCAGTCCAATCTGCTGAAAAATACCACGACAATCTTTCCTTTCCTTTCCCCTTCCTTCCTTCCTTCCTTTCCTTCCTTCCTTCCCTCTTCTGGAATTCCTGTCCCACTTCAAATCTTCTAGGCATGAATACCCTTGACTTCTGCCTGACCAATTCTGTTAAAACCAAGCCAAAGAGGACTGATGGTTGCATAGCAACTTAGCAAATTGGATCACATGCTCAAGCCACAAAAGAGACTTATGCAAAGATGAGCAGAAAGTGCTGTGTTCAGAAGCATGAATAGCCAAAATCCCCAAACCCACACAGCCTTCTTTTCTTCTTCTTCTTCTTCTTCTTCTTTTTTTTTCAGCCGTCTTCGCAAGCAAGGCGTTTAGATGCGCAGAACTCTGGCACAAGTCAATGGTGGTGAGCGGCGATTCAAGTAAAGAGGCTGCATTTGGTAAGAGGCAACTAACTTTCCAAGCTCTATAAATAGTTCTGCAGCATAATGTGTGATCTCTTCCTATCTGATGTTCGCAAGGAAAATATGTTTTTAAATGGAGATCTCGGGCAGTCACAAGATCTGCAAAAGGCTGCCTGCTGAGCTTTAGATTTTAAAAGTACAGAACAGGACGGTTACTAGGGAGGAAGCAGGAAGTGATTTCTGAAAAAAGGAGGGGGGGGAAAAAGCAATTCAAAAGAGAACCAAACTTTAGTGAGGAAGCTGCGTCTTCTCTGAAAGGGAAGGAGGGAGGGAGGCTCTTTAGCAGGAGAAACAAAAGGCGGTTGGGGGAATTCTTGCAAGTTCTGACGTTGCAGTTTCGCAAACATAAAAGGTTTTAGTTCATTTAATAAACCATGGTTTAATAACCGGTTCACTGATGTGTGAATCCAGGCTGATATTCTTGCGTCCTGAATGGAATCCCTGTTCGCTGCCATTAGCTAATACTGAAGCCAGCCAAGAAACTGATCTTGAAAGAAAATTAGGATATAAACTAATGCAAATCATGTAAGAACCAGAAATTGGCAGAGAAATAATAACGCTATCCAAAATAGTTCTTACAGCAAATAGTGCTTACAACTTACAACATAAGTTATCTCCTCTGTGTAGCTTATGTCTCCAGATAGGCAGAGCTGTTGCAAAAAGTAATGAACAATGCAACACAAATGGTAAGTGTTCAGGGTGTTGATAATACCAACCTCCATCTCATTTAAGATAATTTCTTCTGTTCCTGGGACAGACAGGCAAAATCCAGTCTGGATTTTAGTTGTCAATAGTTGTCACTCAGAGCTCACATTCCGGACATATTTTGGGGGTGCAGAAAATAGCCTCATTTTTGTCTCTAAAGCAGGGGTGGTATTCAGCAGCTTCTGACTAGTTCTGGAGAACCGGTAGCGAGAATTTTGAGTAGTTCAGAGAACTGGCAAATGCCACCTCTGACTGGCCCCATCCCCATCCGTTCTCTGCCTCCGAAGTCCCAGCTGATTGGCTGGGTCTTCTTTTGTTGCCCTGCACAGGAGAACAGAGCTGGAAAGCAGGTTATTGGGGTGGGGAGGGAATGGGATTTTGCAGTAACCTTCCCCTGCCACCTTTATCAAACCATGACCACCAAGCCATGCCACACCCACCAAGCCACACCACGCCCACCAAGCCACACCCACAGAACAGATAGTAAAAAAATTTGAATACCACCACTGCTCTAAAGGCAAAGATTCCAAGAAATGGGATATATTTTGCATGCATATTTGTTTGCCCTGGCAGTTATCATCCTCCAGCAGGATAGATACGATTTTTGCAGGACTTTCTTCTTCTTAATTTTTGCAGGACTTTCTTCTTCTTCTTGGCATATTGCCCTGTTTGGGATGTGCTGTCAGGAAGATGGGTCTCCTACTGGGAAAAAAAAGAGACATAGCTTCAAAGGCCAAAGTTTGTTTAGGGATGACTCCTCTAGCAACTCAGTCATCGATTTTGATAAATAAATAATGCCTGGCTACAAAGCTGTATTGACTGAGTTAATACAAATAAAACTGAATGTACCTCAATGTCTTCCAAAAAATTATCCTATATACAAAAATAAAATAAAAATAAAAATCCATAGGCATTCAGTTCAAGTCACAATGATGTTACACACATTATAATCAGAGTGACATAAATCTCACTGTATACAATGCAAATGGAGTCTTTTAATGCTAGGAAAAGTGACTTGCATTGGTGGGATAATTCAAACTTAAATAAAACATTAGTTCTTCTGTTTTAATAAATCTCACATGGCTTCCCCATTTCCCTGCCAACTTTTTAATTTCCTATCAATTTTATTTACTTAGCTATCTGTCAAATTGCTATTTAAAAGTGGGTAATGTATTGCCAATGACCACTACTAATAAGTAGGTTCAAAACACGAACTGCCCAAGATGCTTCTGTGTAGATTTACAACATAGTAAATAAGTAAACAAGCACATAACTATTTCTTTTAAATAGCATAGTCATCCCATTTTCAGATATCCCCACAATGCAAAAGTACCTATAGATTTTAGTTTTTTTCCAGCAAATACTTCCTGGAAATTCTGTGTTAAGAAATACTACGTGTTGGGAAATTCTGGGCTAATTTTCCAAGCATTTTATGGAGATAGGAAAGCTTCTAAAAAGGAACTTGAACTAGCTTTCGCCAGGCTTTTTCCTACACCCCAATATCAGGACCTCACAGGCTCTTTCACTCTTAAGTCAAAAGCAATGTTTACACAACTCCCATTCTATTAAAAAAAAAAAGTTTACAAGTCACAACAGCTCAGTGAAAATTAAACAAGCCTATTAGGTATGAGTTTGTTGTCTAACCTTGATCATCTCATTAAGCCATGCGCTGACATTGCATGTTACAGATATAGTCCTTACAACCGCTTGGTTGTAACTTACAACCACTTGGACTGCCATTTGTCAGAAATGGTGTAGGGCAGGGCTCTCCAACCTTAGCCACTTTAAGACTTGTGGACTTCAAAGCTTTGCTGGCTGAGGAATTCTGGGAATTGAAATCCACAAGTCTTAAAGTGGCCAAGATTGGAGACCCTTTGGTGTAGGATCTCCTGCTTGGGTGGGGTGGGGGGGGTTGGACTAGATGACCTACGAGGTCCCTACCAACTCTTGTTAATCGGTAAATACAGTCACTTTTTGTGATCTTCCCAGAAGCAAAGTCAGTAAGGAAGCCAGATTAACTTCACAACCGAGTTCCTAATTTAAACAACTGCAGCCATTCATTAACACCTGTGGCCCAAAATTTCTGTAGCCAAAGAAAGGCGAAGTGAATTTTGCTCTATTTTACGACCTTCCTTGCCCAGAGTTGTTAAGTCGAGGACTACCTGTAAAAAAAAAAAAAGGCTCTGTAGCCTTGGCGCACTCAAGATGTTAAAAATCTCAGGGGCTTTAAGGGGAACCTCGTGAAAGAAACGCGCAGGGGCGGCCGAGCTCCAGCGGCAGGGCAGCGCCTCCTAAAAAGTTTCCAAAGTGGCAACTTCGGCTCTGGTTGGCGAGCCGGGCCAAAAGCGAGGATGCTTCGGGCTGCGGAGTCGGGGCGACCGACGGTGGGGTCCAGACCCGACCCCGCCGCACCCAGGCAAGCGATGGCCAAGGCTTCGCGCGGGCGTTGCCTGCCTCCACTCTACATCCGGGGCTGGCTTTGGCGGATGGGAAGCGTTAAGGAACCCGGAAAAGAAAGGAAGGAAGGAAGGAAAAGAAAGAAAAGGGAAGGAAGAAAGAAAGTAAGGAAGGAAAAGAAAGAAAGAAAGGAAGGAAGGAAGGAAAAGAAAGAAAAGGAAAGAAAGGAAGGAAGGAAAAAGAAAAAAAGAAAGAAAGAAAGAAAGAGAAAGAAAGAAAGAAAGAAAGAAAGAAAGAAAGAAAGAAAGAAAGAAAGAAAGAAAGAAAGAAAGGAAGGAAAGCAAGCAAGCCACGGCGGAGAAGGCAGCGCGATCCTGGGAGCCGAACGGCAGCAGTGGCTTGTTTGCATCCAAGGCTGGACGGCGCTCCGATCTCTCCCCGGCCATGTGCGGGGTTTGTGGCCGGCTGGAGCCTCCACGCCGGCCACAAACCCCGCCGGGCGGTGAGTCTGGCCGCCAGGCTCTGGAAGAGACGCCCGGTGGGGCCGGAGAGCCTCCCGTGATGTGTGTGCGTGTGTGTAATTTATGTGTGTGTGTAATTTGTGTGTGTGTGTGTGTATTTGTGTGCGTGCGTGCGTGTGAGTATGTGTGTATTTTGTGTGCGCGCGCGCGCAGCAGCAGCAGCCAGGCCGGCCGAGGAAAGCGCGTGGGACCCCGTGGGAACGTCCCTTTGGAGAGGAGGGACCGAGTAGATGCCCTTTTCGGGGAGGAGGAGGAGGAGGGATGGGGCGGCGTGCGTGCTGCGCGCACCCAAACACACCCACCCGCGTAGGGGGCTGGAGCTTCGGGCGCGCCCAGCCGCTGGAGGACGGGAAGGTGGCGCAATGGGTCGGACTCGGAAGCCGAGGAGGGCCCGGAGTGGAAGATGAGCAGCCTGCCTTCTTCCCTCCCGGGGCTCCGGAGCAGCGGCGGGGGCGAGCGGAGCCGAGGGTCCTCCTGCTGCGCTTGGGGCGCGAGGGTGCGGCTCCCGCCGGCGCTTTGAGACGAGCCAGAGAAGTCGCCACAGGTTCGCCTTAGCCTTCACTCCGTCGGGGAGAGCTCGCGCGGTTGGCAGCCGAGGAAGTCGTGGGCGTAGGATTGGGGCAAGGGCTTGGCAAAGTTCCGCTTTGAGCCTCTTTTTCTCTCTCCTCCTCCTTCTTCTCTGTTTCTAACCAAAGGAATCTGTCTAGAGGGGCCCTTTAAACTGCACCCAGGGCAGGGAGAGCTCTTGCAACCTAACGAATCTGCACTGGGGATCACTTGATCCGGCCTTCCTTTCTCTTTTGACTCCGCTTGCCCAAGCGATCCCGGGCTACTTTTGGGCTGGGATCTTGCAACGAAGTTGGAATCGTACAGGGGCGGGGGTAGAATACGGTACTGCAGTCTAACTCACTGCTCGCTCCAGGAGTTCGCTCCTGACGGGCTCCAGGTTGACTCCTCAGCCTTCCATCCTTCCAGGTGGGTAAAATGAGGACCCAGATTGTTGGGAAACAATAGGCTGACTCTGTAAACCGCTTAGAGAGGGCTGTGAAAGCAATGTGAAGTGGTATATAAATGCTATTGCTAATGTCCCTCCTTCCTGCATGCCTGCACAGTGGTTAGAGTGCAATATTTCAGGCCGACTCTGCCCAGAGCCAGGAGTTCGATTCTCACTGGCTCCAGCTTGACTCAGCCTTCCCTCCTTCCGAGGTGGGTAAAATGAGGCCCCTGATTGTTGGAGGACTATTATGATGACTCTGTAAACAGCTTAGAGGGGGCTGTAAAAGCATTGTGAAGCGGTATATAAGTGTTATTGTCCTTCCTTCCTTCCTTCCTTCCATGGTGCACAGTGCAATATTTCAGGCTGACTCGGCCCACAGCCAGGAGTTCAATTCTGACTTGCTCAAGGTTGATTCTGCCTTCCCTCCTTCCGAGGTGGGTATAATGAGGACCCAGATTGTTGGGGTCGAGAGGCTGACTCTGTAAAACAGCTTAGAGAGGGGCTGTAAAGCAGTATATAAGTCTTAAGTGCTGCTGCTATCAATAGGTCCTTTCCTTGCATTCCGAAGCCAGGAATGGCTTCCGATCCTTTTAGGAACAGGGAATTCCCAGCCCAAAGTTTTATCCGGAGCTTGAATGGTCTGCAGTTGCTTGCTATCTCTTTCCCTCTCTAGGAGCATCTTGGTCAGCAGGCCAAAGAGTGAACTTTTGGTTCTGTTATCAGGTGCACAAGTTGGTTTAGTTGCAAAAGTGCTGGATTGTGAGCCAGAGGAGGCAGTCCTCCTATTTTCCAAGATAGTTGTGTTTGTTTGCTTTTTAAAAAAAGTGAAACTCAATATCCTTTGAGTAGGCAAAATATACTTTATTTCAGGGGTTCCCAAACTTGGCAACTTTGAGACTTGTGGACTATGCTGGCTGAGAAATTCTGGGAGTTGAAGTCCATGAGTCTTAAAGTTGCCAAGTTTGGAGACCTCTGCTCTGTTTGATGTCAGAAAACAGATATATTAAGTATATAAAAATGTTACCTTGAGGTTGGTTTAAGTACAGTTTAATGGGGCCACCGGAATTCAAGTTGTTTGGCAGTGTGAATTTTTTTTTTTTTTTTTACAGAAGCATTTCCCCTTGCAAAGATTTATATAGTAAAAATTAAATTATAGAATAAAATAGAAAATACAAAAGCCAAAAAGAGGGTAGGAAGGGGAAAGAGAAGAATCAAAAGGTCGATCCGCATATGAATGCTTGAGTCAAATGTCTAAAAAAGTTTCGTCTAAAAACTTTAAATGCAATAAGTTTTTGTTCTTCTTCTGTTTCATCAGAGACTTGCCTGGACATGTTTTTTTTTTTTTTAAAGTGGTTTGCCATTGCCTCCTTTTTAGGGCTGAGAGAAAGTGACTGGCTCGAGGTCACCCAGATGGCTTTGTGCCTAAGAATAGAATTTGTAGTCTCCCAGTTTGTAGCCGTTGTTGCTTTAACCACTACACCAAACCGGCTCTCAAGCGGAAACTTGGTTTGTTCATTTTTTTAACCTTTGGTTAAAGGCAGGGTTTCTTGGCAAGGTTGATGCTGGTGAGGAGTCTTTTAACATGGTTTAGGATTCCCACTAAACCTCTCTCCATATTCTCCCTGCTCTCCGACTCAGCCCCTTTCGCATTCTAGTTCAGGGTGTCAAATTGGATTTCTTTGAGGGCCAGATCAGTATTGGAGTTTTCCAACATGGACCAATGGTGGGGGGGATAGGGAGCGCGGGGGGGGGAGACAAGCCGGATGCCTCCTGCGGCACCCTGCTGGCCAAAATGGGGCATCCCCCCCGCCCCCCAATATCTCATTTTCAGCCTCCATGGCCGCCTCCAACACTCTTCCTGTTGTGGTCCACCAGCAGCCTGCAGAGGTGGCAGCAGAATCGGACAATGGGGAAGAACAGGGACCAGTCCAGGAATCTGGGGAGGACTCGGACGAAGGTCCTGTGTCTGACAGGACACAGTTATGAGTTATGTCTGGACTCCGGAGCCTCCAGAATCTGACAGCAGTGAGGCAGAGGAACAAGGGGAGCCTGTTCCCAGTGCATGCGTGCACAGAGCTGCCAGAAGGCTAGAGTAGCTAAGACAAATGGGGAGACTCGGGAGTAAGGCTGGGAGATGATTGTTCCTCCCATAAGATATAAAGGAAGTGCAAAGGGACAGGAAACTTTGCAGGAAGCAATGTCGTTCGCTCTGTTCGGATTAAACCTTGAAGCTCTGTGTGGCCTTTGTATGTTTGGTTTTTTTATAGTTAATTTGGCACTTTAGTTGTTGGCAGCAATTCAAAGGAGAGAAAGGTGGGTGCTTATCTCGAGGAACTGTTTGAGTTGTTTGGACTAAGTGTATGCTTAATTGTGATCTCAGGAAGCCTTGGTCAGAACACTTCTGGCTGAAAATGGGCCACGTGGAGGCCCTGCGTGGCCTGTTTTCAGCCTGCCCGGCCTCCAGCAGCACTATGGGCCTTGCGGGGAGCTTAAATCTGCCCATTTTGGCTGGCTGAGGCACTGCAGGCTGGTCCTTTGATATTTCCAGACCGGCCCCATGGGCCAGATATAAGGGTCAGATCTGACCCCCAGGCCTTGAGTTAACACCCCTGTTCTAATTACATTGAGAGAAGGAAAAGAAAGACCATTTGGAGAAAGAAAAGAGTTCCTTTCCATGCAAAGCTGCAGAGGAGTCACAAAGCACATGACCATGGGGATGTTGCAACGGTCGTAAGTCTGAAAACCGGTCATAAGTCACTTTTTTCCCATGCCGTTGCAACTTCGAATGGTCACTAAATGAAGTGTTGGAAGTCAAGGGCTACCTGTAGAGGTGTTTGAATCTGATGAACAGTACAGATGGGTGTTTAACAGATTAACAGAGTTGGAAGGGACTTTAGAGGTCATCTAGTCCAACCCCCACCCACCCAAGCAGGAGACCCTACACCATTTCTGACAGGTGGCAGTCCAATCTCTTCTTGAAAGTCTCAAGTGATAACACTCCCACAACTTCTGAGGGCAACTTCTACTCCACGGGTTGATCGTTCTCACTGTCAGGAAATTCCTCCTTATTTCCAGACAGAATCTCTCCTTGTTAAGTTTCCATCCATTATTCCTTGTCTGGCCTTCACGTGCTTAGGAAAATAGCTTGACCCCCCCTTCCTCTCTGTGGCAGCCCCTCAAATATTGGAAGACTGCTATCATGTCTCCTCTGGTCCTTCTCTTCACTAGACTAACCAAGCCCAGTTCCTGTAACCATGAACCTGAGATGATGCAACTTTTGTAAATACCTGCCAGTTGCCTGAATTTTGATCACGTGACTGTGAGGATATGGCAACAGTCATTAAGTGTGAGAACGGGTTGTGTAAATCACTTGATTCAGTGCCGTTGGAATTCAGACAGCCACTAAGCAAATGGCTGCAAGTTAAGGACTTACCTGTACATTGTACTGAAAGAGAACTGAACCAGCTCAAAGTCACCTAGGCCAGGGGTCTCCAACCTTGGCAACTTTAAGCCTGGAGGGCTTCAACTCCCAGAATTCCCCAGCTAGCAAAGCTGGCCTAGGCAGCTTGTATGTCTAAGGGTGAATTGGAACCTTGTCTTTCTTTCTTTTTTACATATTTCCAGGTTGAATCTCTCTCCTTGTTCGGTTTCTATCCATTATTCCTTGTCCGGCCTTCGGGTGCTTTGGAGAATAGATTGACCTCCTTCCTCTCTGGGGAATCCCCTCACCTGTTGCAGATGTCTGTTGCACTTTGGTGGCCTGTTGAAGCTCACTTTTAGCTCCTTTTAGTCATATCTGCTGTTAACCCACGCGCAGCCCTTGCCCTTCCCCTCGTCCTGTTCTTTGGGAGTTCAAAATATTTTCCCTCCTGGAAATTAAATTATATTCCGCTCTCTCTTGAAGCTACAGGTATTCTGAATTGGCAAATTACAGGTAGCCCTCAACTTACAACTGATTGTGATTGTTCAAAGTTACAGCAGCAC